AATCATGAATAGAGTTTTGTTTGTTTTTAATAATGGGGAATAAGGAGCTAGCCACATGAATAATGAACAGAAAAGTGATCAGAAGCTCTTACAGAGCACCACATTAAAATTAAAACATCAGATCTATGACTTAATTTTTTTTTTAAGATTTATTTATTTGTGCATACAGAACTGGGGTACAGGCCAGAGGCTCAGGATCGGTGAGGGCTTCACCAGAGACAGAGTGGGTAACAAAACAGGTAAATCAACGAAGTACACTGCTGAGGGGAGCAGCGGGTGGGCCAGGAGAGTTCTGTCACACCATGTGGTCACCTCCAGGGCAGGCGGGAATCGAACTCATGAAGAAGCGGCTTCATGAGGAAGCGGCTTTAGAATCTCAGTGCTGTGCTTTAACCCGCTGCACCACCAGGGAGGGCCTCTATGATTTAATTTTATATTAGAAAAATTGTTAGAACCAAGAAATAACCCATCCCATCTGCCTAGTCATCATTAATATTGTTTTCAATTTTACCTATCATTCCCTGCCTACTTACAACCATATTGCATGCTTGCAACCATACTATGCATAAGATATAGAATTCTGTGATAGCAGGAAGGAATTTCCACTCAACATTTGATTCCTTTATTGCTGAACTTTTTGTGTTAGAGATATTAAATTGGAGGGAATAGATCCATTTCAAATGTGATTATATTGTAATTACACTTTAAAGTGATCACATTAGAACTTCTAATTTATGTTTTGAAAATCACAATACTGCATTAATTTTTTCTTCCCATATTCTATTCTGGGCCAAAAGAATATCTATAGTAGAAAATTTGGATTTTTAGGTGATAATGGCTGCTTAGGTAATGAGGATCATCAATGAAGGTACACAAACCCTTTTTGCTTTTCCCTACAGTGCCTAGTTTTCCTCCAAGCCTTGAACCAACAGTTCATCTAAACCTGGAGCAAATCATTGATGGATAGTGATGTTTACCCATATAGAGACCCATTGCTATATCTATAGTTTGCTGCCAAACCTTTCCATATTAACTCCAGGGTTTACATTAAACTGTGCAACTGCCTATCAAGAAGTCCCTAGTGACCAAGGGTAATGAAAAAGAAGAGGTATAAAAAGAGTATTTACTTACAATAGACTCAATTAACAGTACCATACAGAGTGCAGTAGCAGAATAGTAGAAACCTAAATTTGTTCCTCTCTTCTAGTTTCTTAATATCTTCTGGGGTAAAATATACATGATACAACACTAGAATTAATACAAATGTGTGAATTCATTTTTGAGGTACACCTTAAGTAGGTAGTTGATTGTACTTGTTTTGTTTGTTTTTTTTTTTTAATATTTATTTATTCATACAGAAGTGAGGTACAAGCCAGAGGTGCAGGGGCAGTGAGAGGATTCACCAGAGACAGAGTGGGGAGCAGAACAGTCAAATCGACGAAGTACACTGCTGAGGGGAGCAGGGGCAGGTCAAGACAGGTGTGCCGCACCATGTGGTCACCTCTGAGGCCAGGGATCGTACTCACACTGAAGCCGCAGCGGCTCACTTGCAGTGCTGTGTCCTAACCTGCTTTGCCAACAAGGAGGGCCCTGATTGTACCCTTAAAGATACCAAAGTTTGTGGATGATATTAAGCTAAACTAATTCAATGTCATTTGACTCATTTGTATTCTGAGGCGGACTTTTTTTAAGTAGAAGGTATGGGAATTAACTGGCCTCAGAAATTGCACTTGAGTCAGGTAGAATCATATATTTGGCAGTCAAGGTCACAGGAATACAAAATTGAGATAAAATGACAATTTTAAGAAAACAACACATCTGTTTCAGATGAGCAGTGATTGCTTGTTTTATTATTTCTCTGAAGTCTTTTGTCATCCATCTATTTGATAAGTAAATGATACCTGGTAAAGAGGAAGGAAATACTGTGAATTAAACCACAACAAGAATGTGTACAGATGTGTGCAAACCATTTATTTTTATTGAGTATAAACCCAATAATAATTCATTTTCACAATTCAAAACATGATAGAAATGCAAAGCTTAAGTGAGATTTAGAGTGTTTTATTTCTTTACAATATCAACAACTCAGAGTAGCTGAATCAAGACTCGTGAATCATCAGTGTCATTCCTATGAAAATGACAATGTCATTCTTCACAGAAATAGAACAAAAAATCATGAAATTAATTTGGAGTCACAAAAAAACTCAGAATAGTAAAAACACTTGAGAAAAAAGATTAGAAATGGAGATAACACGCTTTCCAACTTCAAACAGAACTACAAAGCAATAGTAATTAATATAACTTGGTACTGGCATGGAAGCAGACACGCAGATCAGTGGAACAGATTTGAGGATGCAGAAGTAAAACCACATGCAAGGACAACTAATTTACAATAAAGGAGCCAAGAACTTACAGTGGAACACAGAATGTATCTTTAATAAAAGGTGCTGGGAAAACTGGACAGCAGTGAGAAAAAGAATTAAACTAGACAACACCATACCCAAGAATTAACTCAAAGTGGATGAAAGACTTGGATGTAAAATCTGAAACCATAAAATACATAGAAAAACATAGATGATACACTTGTTGACATTAGCCTTAGAATTATATTTAAGGACTCAACTTCAACAACAAGGGAAATAAAAGCAAAAATAAATGGGGCTACATCCAACAAAAAACTTTTGAACGACATGAGAAATGTGCATCAAAGTGAGCAGATACCCTACTGAATGGGAGAAGATATTCCACAGCATATGCCTAACAAACGATTAATATCCCAAATATAAAAACACATAAAACTCAAAAAAAAAAACAATTAAGAAATCAGCAGAGAATCTGAATGGACAATTCTTCATAGAAGATGTACAGATGGCCTGCAAGCACATAAAAAAATGCTCTTGATCAGTTATCATAAGGAAAATTGAAACCAAAACCATAATGAGCTGTCTGTCACCTCACACCTGTGAGAATGGCTGTTCTCCAAAATACAAAGTATGTGTTGGAGAGGATGTGGAGAGCTGGTAACTCTTATATACTATTGGTCGGAATGTCAATTGGTGCAGCTATTATGGAAAGAAAGTATTTTGTTGATTTCTAAAAAAAAAAAAAGGAAGTTCATAAGATCCGATGATCCCACTTATTGGTATTTACTCAAAAAGTACAAGACACCAAGACACTAATTCAAACAAATGCATGCACCCCAATGTTTATTGCTACATTATTTACAGTAGTCAAGAACTGAAAATAACATAACTGTCCATCCACAGATGACTGATAAAGATGTTGTATGTATACACAACAGAAAGCTACTGCTCAACCATAATAAAAAGATGAAATTCTGCCATTTGGAAAATGAATGGACCTAGAGAATACTAGACTTAGTGAAATAAGTCAGATGGAGGAATACTTACACTGTGTAATCTAACTCATATGGTATACAGGAAAAACAAAAACAAAAACAGATGAGGTAAATAAAGCAAATTTAAAACTTAGGACTGTAAGACCAATTAGTGGTTACCAGAAGGGGAGGGGAAGTGAGGATAGGTAAATCAGCACAAAGGCAACAATCTATGGTAAGAGACAGATGTGGAATTCTAGCAATGACCCTAATGTAATATATACACATGTTAATTTTCAGTGATACACAACTGAAACTTAAATAATGTCAGTATGCAGTGTTATTACAATTAAAGAAAACTTTTGAGACTTGTTCATCAAGACCTTTCTCTTCAAAATAAAATTCATGTTAGCAGTAACATTTGAATGTTTGTAGGTCTTAAAATTGAGAAATGAACCATTATGGATAAGTTTCTACAGTAATATAAATAGAGGCAGTCATAAATTCATGTGTGAGGAGAAATTAGGAGAAACCTTTAGAAGAATATTTTTAGTTCAACTGTAAATAAGCAGTGAGACATCTATATGCTATGCAAATATTCTAAGTGAGTAAGTTTAGAAATTATCTTTTTTCAAAGCTTTAGACTTTGGGAGGAAATATAATTATTTCTGAAAAGAGAAGAAAATGTACCTTTCAGAGCTATAAAGTGATGGAAATCATTGAATTTCTGCTGTGATGGAAATGCACTGTTTTATACAATAGCCACTAACCACAGTGTCTATTGAACATTTGAAATGCTGAAATTTTAAGTTTATTTAATTTCAGTTACCTTAAATTTAACTTCCCATTTGTATCTAGTGTCTACCATGTTAAGTTATGTAGTGGTAATAATAGTAATCTGCCTTGCCAGTGAATTCATTAACTGAGTGTCATTTCATATCCAAGATTCTTTGGCTCTTAGTATTTTTTTCCCTTTTTCCAAAATACATTACCATTTTCGACTTAGCTTTATTTCTTTTAAGATTGATTTATTTATGCATATAAGAGCTGGGGTAGAGGCCAGAGGTGCGGGGGTGTGAGAGGATTCCCCAAAGACAGAGTGGGGAGCAGAACAACTCAATCAAGTAAAACATACTGCTGAGGGGAGCGGGACAAGAGAGGTGCCACATGGGTCAGCTCCCTGGCCAGGGATCAAACTCATGGGACCCTGGCTGGTGATAGCTTCATTGTGTGCTGTTAACCCTTTGTACCACCAGGCCCTTAGCTTTGCTTAAAATAGAGTCCCTTTTACTTTAAAACAGTAAATGTCAAACTTAAATCCCCAAATCATAAGTGCCATTTACTCAGGTGGTAAACTTTCAGTAGAGATTCTTACATTTTAAAATGAAAAAGCAAAGCTGAAATGTTTGGTATGAAATGTTCTCCTATCTGCAACTTTGAAACACATTAGAAAATGAACTGATGCCTGGATAAGGGTAGTTGCATGATAAAGCAAATATACAAAATGTAAGTGATATATGCACAGTTTTTTCAACTTTACTGAAAGTTTAATTTTAAAATGACTAAGTGTCATGATAAACACTTGGGAACATGTAAATGTAAGCATATTAAATGTCTAAAAATGTGCCTTTTTTTTTCCCTTGGGTCTATCACTTTTAACTAGAGCCAAGGAGCAATAACTGAACGTTTACGAAGTTTCAGTATGCACGATCTAACAGCTATCCAGGGTGAGGAGCCTGTGGAACAAAGCCCATACCAGACTCTACCTGTAACAAAAAAGAAAAGTAAACCAACCTCCAGTGAATCGGCAGGTGCGCTTGTTTGTTTTTTGTTTTTTAAGATTTATTTATTTATTCATATGGAACTGGGGTACAGGCCAGAGATGTGGAGGGTGAGAGGATTCACCAGAGACAGAGTGGGGTGCAGAACAGGCTGATCTACGAAGTACCTGCTGAGGGGAGCAGTAGGCCGGTCAGGAGAGGTCTGCTGCACCATGTGGTCACCTCCGAGGCATGCTGGAATCGAACTCATGCGGAAGTGGCTTTTTAGCTTCTCTGTACAGTGCTTTAACTCGCTGCACCACCAGGGAGGGCCACACTTGTTTATTTTACTGTGTCTTTGAGAGTCTGGATTTGAGTCAAGATGGCCACAAAATAATAGCCAGTAACTAGCTGAATTTGGGTAGATAAAATTTACTTTTATGCATATATATGTATGTATGTGTATGTATTTTTGTATGTAACCACACATTCCTCCCCCCACCCCACCCCCCATATGCCCTCATCCAATCTTCACTGCCACAGAAGATAGAAACTGAGAAACAAACGACTATTTTTTCTTTCATGTGTAGTGGAATCCTTGGCAACAGCAAACAGCTGTTCCAGGTCTGTCAAAAGATACATTTACACTTATATTTTTGAATTTTACACCTCACTGTAGCTCTCTTTCTCAATTTTTTTCCCCCTAACTAAGATTAATGCTTACCTTTTGTTGACTTTGGAGATAATCCAGCCAAGTAGCAGTAGAGGCAGGGGTGTGGCTACCATCACCTTACCATCAACACTAGTCCTGACCTGTGATGGATGCCTTTTCTACTCAAACTATGTGGTGCCATCTAACAAGTTTTAGAGTTGAACATTGTTTCCTGTCAGTGCATTGAACAAATAAGGATATGGACTCACAACATAGTTTTTAAGCAAATAACAAAAGATGACTCAGTTTGAAAATGGGATTACTCCAATGGAAAGTGTATTGAAATTATATATTCTAGCTCAAGAACTAACTTGCAGATCTGTTCTACTGTAAACTTAGCTCATATCATATTTAAAAATCTAAAATTTTTAATATGCTGTTGTGACCTTATAAACATACACATAAGTAAAAGTTATTTTGTCGCATGTTAGAAAGTTTTAGTTCAAGGTTCAGCTGAGAACTAAGATCTTAAGGAAATTTCTTATTAACATATTATTCATCCATAAGATACATGTCTGTTTGATTTTTTTTTATTAAGTAGAAATGTGCTTTTAAAGATATTGAAAATCACCCTTTTTTAACATGCTATTTTTATTGCAATAACAGACTTTATATACATTAAGGGTGTAGGCTCACAGCTCTTCACCTGTGTGTTATAACCCAGGCCCACCAACAGAACACTCAAAATCCTCTGACGATAGTCTGGTTGGACCTCCCCTTATCTCCTCCCACACATTTCCCCCTGGTAGCTTCAATTCTGCAGTCAGAGTTCTAGGTTCTATGTGGTTTTGATGAAATTTGAATTTTTTTTTTAATGAAGTAACATTGGTTTCCAGTAAGTACAGTATCCATTTTTTTTTTATAATATTGTTCCCTTTTTTTTACTGCATTTACTCACTGATTTGCTTTCAGAAATAAAATTGATAAGTTTTTCAATGTGGGAGTTACGTGCACATTGTTGAAGGTACATGTAATCAGTGCATTTACCTCAGAATCCCTGGTTGATCACATACACAAATTCGGGTATCTGGAAACGTGTGTCCCTTTTGAGGTGTCCTGGTCTGAGCATTTTGAGGCTAGCTAATCAAGAGAAGCTCTGCTTTGATGAAATCATTCAAATCTGCTTATTGTCACTATAGGAAAAAGAGCTCCCTCCAAATTTGTTTGTGGGTGAAAGTGGATACCTTGGCACCTTAAACATGATGTTCACTACTTTGAAAGAACACATTTGATAAATGAAAATATTTTTTCTTCAAGGAACCTGGACACTCTCCTATTAGTTAAAAATGGTCCAACATTCCATTTCAATACCAGTACATAAAGATATTTTTGTTTGTTTGTTTGATGTTTTATATATTTCTTTTATCCTCAACATGACTAGATAGTGTAAATATTTTTATCCTTATGTGTATATGTGTAAAGTAAGACTTGAGTTTAAAATTACTTGTCAAAGGCTATGTATTCAGTCACAGAAATGAGTACTCAAGATTCCTAAACAATTTTTTTACAGTTATTCTATCATCATAAATTCAAATAATTTGGGAAGAAAGAGATTTTAGAGGTGTTTTGGTCAAAGATGGCAACTAGGTGACATGCCCACAGCTTCCATGTTCATGGTGGCTGACGATGCTAATGGACTGTGACAGCACTTTCCCATACTGACTCAGAATGCCACTCACCATACTGCCCCAGACACCTCATCTGTTTGGTGGCACTTATATAGAAAACCTATTCATCATCACCCATCTATCTTACCATCATACCAGATAAGAAATCTGAAGCCAGAGGACTCATTCAAGGTGTCACAGCTAATATATAGCAAAGTACTCGTTTCTCTTTCCCCCACAGTGGATAATGCCTGTGCATAAAAGCATCTACTGTTGTACTTTCTTAAAATGGTAATAAAGCCCTAAGCTGACGCTGCCTAAGGAATTGTAGTCTTAGGACCCAAGGCCATGGCAACACAGATTTCTCCATGGGGGGGGTCCCCAGTCACTGCTTCTCAGGAATGTGTGTGGAGGGCTGTGTCCTAGTACTCTGTTCCATGGAGCTTAATGATATGAAGCAGCCTACCTTAGACTGCCTTTGCATGGCTTAGCAGCACCACCTTGCCCCAGCCTGGCTGGCCACTGAGCCAGCTTACTGATCCTTGCTTTGATGTAACACCCAGAGTTTAGCTTCTCTCATAATAATCTCAGGTCTCCCACTTCTCCCCCAAAGTCTTTAAATCCTCAGACAATTTTAACTAACCTTATGTCTGCCACTCAGCAGAATTTTCATATATACTCATTTCTAGTTTTTTTAAAAAAATGCATACTTAGAGGTTATTTGATTTGACTCTTTGATGCTTGGTTTTGCTTAGTAAGAAATTAAACTTGTCAGTTTCACCTGATCGATCCCACAGTTGGCTGCCTTCTCTGTCCTTGCTCCGACCTCTCACTTCTGGCCCACCTTATTCCCAGTAACCTCCTGTTTCCCGTTTCATCCTTTTGTGATTCATTCTTCATAGTGCAAGAAGAGTCTTATAAAGAGCCCAAGCCTAATCACTGCGCCCTTCTGGTTAAAATGTTTCAATGGCCCTCCACTGCTCTCTGATGAAATCCAAGCTCAGTAGCATGTCGTTTGTTAGCACCCAGCCTTTTCTCCCACTCTGTCATTTACTAGGTATATAGAGTGAGGACCTTTCAGGATTCAGCTTAGTCACTGTCTCCAGAAGTGGTGTTCCTTCCCACCCAGGCTGAGTTAATTCTCCTATTGTGTGCTTTCCTAGCTCTTACCTTCATAGCTCCTTATTTATAGTATCCATGAGAGTACTGTTACGCCCATTACAGTCTTTTTCTCCCTAATAGACTGTAAATGCTTAGGGTAGAAAAGGACAGGTGTGTCTTTTCTGTCATGGTATCCTCATAATTTAGCACTGCTTCATACATACAATTTTCAAAATACACAGTGTGGAATAATGAATCAAATCCATCACTAATTTAAAAACTAGTATAATTTTTTAACTGAAATTAGGGAACAAACATAGAATAAGTTATTTATATATTCACATACTTACATAATCATTTTACATAAAATTCCAATTCCTTATCATATAAAGTAAGAAGTAATTAAATTAGCTCAGACTATGTTTTGAACTGTAGTATTATCCTTTATCTGTGTCCTTAGAGAACATTCTGGTCACAGTTACTTCCTTTCTACTTTTTATTTGATACAAACAGAGAAAAATCTAGTATCTAGAAATAACAATCTCAAAAATATATATATATATATTCCCCCCACCCCCATGCCACGGCCCGGCTGACTTGCCCAGCTATAGATGTAATAAAGATTTTTGAATAAAAACTTAACAAACTTGAAAAATGATGTTTAAAATACCTACAAGCCCACTTCCAAGATATGTAGTAGCTTCATTTTTATGTTGTTTCCTTTGTTTTTATGTATATTTCTTTTCCACTTGATACAGGCAACAAGAGCATTTCCTGAGACCTACTGACCCCATTCCCTTCTTTGGCCACACAGACTACCTAGCAGTTCTCTCAGACAACCGTACCCCCACCTCACTCCACCCCACCCCTACCCTATCATCTCTGCCTGTGACTTCCCTTCTACCTCCAACCTTTTCAGGAAAGCAAAGGTTCCTGTCCCAAATAATAACTTACCCTACTTCTGAATCTTCCCTAGTTTCTAGACCAGAAGTGTGGTAGCACAAAATAATACTGAATGATATCTTATTATGAAACTAAGGCTTATTAATAACTTTTGTGGCTTGCTTAAAGTTGTGAAGTAGTGTCTCAAGTTGTTATGTCTTCATGTATTTTTCTTTTTCTTTTTTTAAGATTTATTTATTTATGCATACAGAACTGGTGTGCAAGCCAGAGGTGCAGGGGTGGTGAGATGATTCACCAGAGATAGAGTGAACAGGGAGAAGAACAGGCCAATTGATGAAGTACACTGTTGAGGGGAGCAGCGGGGGGGGGGGAGGTCAGGAGAGGTCTGCTGCGCCATGTGGGTCACCTGGGGGCTGGGAATCTAACTCACACTGCAGCGGCTGCTGCTTACTTGCAGTGCTGTGTCCTTACGCATTGTGTCACCAGCATGGTGTCACCAGGGAGTGCCTGGACATTTTTCTTCACATGCAGGAATTCCATCTTTTAACCCCTTCTGAGGCTGAAAAAATTACCTACTTTTTTTTCTCACCTGAAAATTTAAATATTAATGCTCCTTATCTTTATTAAAGGAGATTGAAAGGTAACAGGGACTTGTAATCTTACCCCTCTCTTTACAATACACTTAGTATTCTAGTTGTCTAAAACTTGAATACTCTCTTGTTCCCTCCAGAGAATGTTTCTCTAAATGTGGACCCCGGACCCATAGTGTAACGTGGGAACTTGTTAGAAATTAAATTCTCAGGCCCATCAATCCATGCACTAACAAGCTCTCCAGGTAACTCTAATATGTGCTAACATTTGAGGACCATTGCTTTGGGAATGGAGTGTTCTTGTCCCTGAATCTCAGCCTCAGGATGAGCTCAGATTTCTTGACAATAACCAGCCAGGCCACCTAGATGCTTTCATATTAGCCAGTGTTAATAGGTCTTTGTAGCTACACATAGCAGCCTTTTAGCACACCCACACCATCTCTCTCTGACCTCCCTGATGCTGGTTCTTTTCTATGACTAACATCTGTCATTGTAGACTGCAGCATTTCTAATTATCGTAGTCTGTCTGACTGGGTTTTATCTCAGCAGCTGCAACCAGTATTGGCTTAACATTTCCATTATCTTCCCCTGGTGAACTTACATTGTTGAAAATTCTAACTCTTTCTGGTCTTTTCTGACTCCTTAAACTCATCCTACCTTTCCCAGTATTGACAGTGTTTGACACAAAATGAAGGGAAACATATCCCTAATTCCAATTAAAACCAAAAGTACAAGTAAGAGACTGAAATACATAATTGCTTTGGTTGTTTAGAATTCATGTAAAGGTGAAGGGACAGAAAGAAACTTCTCACTACCTACCTATCTTTAATTGTTTTACTCAAGGTAAACGTGTTACTCAAAAATAAATTATTTTTATTTTTCCTAAAAAAAAAATGCATAGTAAAAAAAAAAAAGGATGGCCAGGGAAACTTGGGGAGGGAATATGAGCTCCATCAAGAATAGTATGAGGTTAGTGATGAAGAGCATATTCCAGATGAGAAAGGGAAAAGAGTGACTAGGCAGATGTAAACCATACAGAACAGGGTGAATACGCAGTGCTGACTGGTAATCCTTTTACCAAAACATGCTGGTTTTTGGTTTTGGTTTTGGTTTTTTTTTTAATAATATAACAGTTTATTTTTACATCATTTTGTACATTTTTTTTTTCATCTCAATTGTAATCCCCGTGGGTTTCCCATCACCGAGTCACCCGTGTGCCATCACTATAGTCCTGGGCACTTCCCCCCACCTCCTTTTTGATCCCATTCCCCACTCCACCCCCACAAAATGTCTCTGGTATAAAAACATGCTGGTTTTGGCAACCTGTTTAGGTTATGGAATTCCACTGAAAGATGGAGCTGAGAAAACAGATGAAGAAGGGGAAGGATCATATTCAGATGATGAGATGTTAACACACAAAGGGCTTCGAAGAACACAAAGCATGAAGTCTGTGAAAACCATCAAAGGCCGCAAAGAGGTTAGTCTAGTAGAGTTGTTTTCCTAATGATTTAATATGAAGGGATTTCCTTGCTGCAATATCATTTACGATAATAATCATCCATAAATGAAGCATTAGAATAGTAGAACAGCAGTTATTTTTAAAATTCTTTATTCCAGTCAGATATTTTAGGACCTCTGAAAATTTTAAAAATGGTAAATTACTAGTATTCCATTGTAAGTAGAATAGCACAACAGTAGATGGTATACACAGTGACTCAGGGTTGTCCTGAGGACCCACTGCCAGCCCTACACGTAAGGACAATGAACAGAATTAAGTGCATGGTTTTACCTTGAGCCGAACCCACATAAAGATCAAGTAGTATAGATTTGTCCATAATAATGCAATGTCCTTGTGTCCAGAACGCAGCAGAGGATTTCAGGGAATGGCACATTGTTAGCAATGAGCATGAATATTGCCAAAGTAAATCAAAATTGTTTTTGTTTTTTTTGAGACTGACATATTCAACATAACCCCAGCTACACATTTGTAGGATAATTGATACTTTATCAGAAAAGTTAAATATTATTGTGATTATGAACTAGTAAGTCTCATCTAATTTCAAAAAATAATCATCTGATTTATATAATGCATTTCTCTCTTCAGGTGCGGTATGGGTCACTCAAATATAAAGTGAAGAAAAGACCACAAGTATATTTTTAGTCATGTACACTTCAAGTATCCCAAGAAAATTATGCAAATGAATTTTTTTCCAACATTATATGGTCACAGTGTATTCACATTAAATAATTCTTTAAATTGTGGCGATGATAGGGTTTACTTTCATTGATTCATATAGTTTTTATTTAATGATTACATCCAAATCTTGACTACTAAGGGTAGTATGCAAAACTTACCTGTATAAGAAATAATAGAGAATTGTGTTATTTGTTTTCAAATTACTTGGCAACATGGAGTTGGGATATCCCAACTGATGTTTAATGATATATTTATACTAATGTATAAAATGATACAAACCCACAGTATACTTGAAAAGAGTCTTCTTATGGTTCAGAATACATCAGCCATTGTGGTATTGTATTGTGTTTACCTCCATTTACACTGTATCTGTCACATGGGGATAGTGATTAAAGAGATCTCTGATGCAGCAAGTGACAGATAAGTATGTTTTCTATATTCTTTAAATTTTAACTTTTTTAATATTTTCTACTTTTTCCACCATCAACTGAAAGTTTTCTAAACAAATATTTGAAAACCAGGTATCCACATAGCACTTTTATTCTTTACTAGTTTTGCACACTTGAAAATTGTTTACTTATTTTACAACTGTACATTTTAGTTTTATTGTCACTAGTGTTATTTGTCATATCCTGACATATCAGATTTATACCTTGAATTACATCATCTCTGTTGCTGTGGGCTTCATTTGTTAAATTCATTTGATTTTCATAATATAAAAATATAATTAACTGCTCAATTTTAACTTTTTAATTATCTTTTTTATAGATAAGTTATATTAAACATTAACCAGTTTTTCATATTTAGCTCTACCTTATAGTTGAACTTAGCATGTTTTTGTTAACACTGGTTACATTTTTAACTTTAAAAAGTGATAGACTTTATTAAATAGTCAGAGACCAGTATAGCACTTAGGCCTTTTCTAATTCATCAAATTACCAACAGTCAATCTATTCACAGGCTTGGAATTCATATTTGCTGCTAATTTATAAATTTCACATTAACTAGAATCATTTGAATCTCTTTGCTAGCTGAGATAATTTTCTGCAGATACAAAATACAGATGTTGTCGGTCTTATATCTTAAAAGCTATTAGACTAGATATTAGGAAAATAACATATTTTTAATCCAAGAGATTTTGAGGTATTCATATTTGAGACTTTTTTAGGTTGGTAACTATGCATTATGAACTCTAAATATATTTCTGGTGATGGTTTTAGTGATCATGAATCATATTTATACACTTACTCTTGTTCAGATGATTTTGCTTGACTATTCTACTTGGTTGTCCAAAAGAAAAAACAATGAGAGATTTGTGAGCTCTTTGACCTTTTTACCTTTAAGAAACAAAGCCAGCTGGCAATGTATATTCAGGACCTCCTCTGAGTGTTGGCAGAGAATTGTATGTTTACTCAGGAGTGCCTTAGCATAATTCATACGTTTCTCTTAATACAAGCCTTAAAACATTTTCGTGATTATCTCACATTCTTGACATACAGCAACTTGTAAAAATTTGTTCAGCTTATTTTCTCCTAAGTTTATTTCTATGAATACATTTATTGCTTTATCTTGACTAAGTTTTAGCTTCTTAGTTTCAGGAAAGTCTTATTAATTTGCGATCATATTTTCTATGTATTCTGATTATAAATTCTTGGAAAAGAGTTTTATTTATAGTGGTGAGTACTAGATTTACCACTGTAAATGCTATAGCATGCTTGTCTTTCCTGTGCAACAGCAATGTCATCTCTGCCTGCTAAAGTCACTTATAAGTGATTTTATATCAAAAAACATTTTCTGTGGGGGGTGGGCTGTTTTGCATCATTTTATATTTTTCAAGTCTAATCTCAGTATTAAACTTACTATTTAATTACAGTAAACTAGTACTGTTGTAATGGAAAATTATTTAGCACTCTACACTTCTAGAATCAAAAAGTTTAGTCAGACAGCACCAATATTAGAGTTAATGCAAGCCCTTCTGTTATCACTTTACACTCATACTGCTTCCTCTGGTATTTTCTCCTGTCACATCCTTATAATCTATACCATTTTGCTCCTCTAGCATTTCCTATCCCCTTTTCTTATATATCTCTTAAATTTTGTTTATTTTCCCTTGAATGTTGTATAATACACATAAAATTTTTTTCTCTGAAGGTGAAGCAGGTCACTTTTTGTCTCTCTGCTGTTAAGTCTACTGCTTTTGGAAGAGCTGAATTTATTCTTTAACCACAGTGCCTTATTTTCCCCACCACCATCACCTGGTGAATGAGCATCAGGTGCTGCACAAACCTATTTCTATTTAGCATAATATTCATTCAACATATTTGTTAGCTTTCTACAATTTGTTTGGAAGTAAGAATTGAGCCATCCTTGTTGCCATGTTTTTTCTGGCATAAAAGCTGAGCCAGAATAAGCCTTATTGCTAAGTTATTAATTATGTAATCCCACCTAGGTCCTTTTTTAAATTCCTTCCACACACTCCCTTACATGTATGTGGAATTGGCTAGAAAATGATACTGCCAGCATTACTAAATTTAAATACTTGACTACACAGATTTATAGAACAAAATTATTAACGTATCTTCAGGGAATTTAATCCATATGTCATCACCAAAGACTTCTGCAGTGTTATAAAGTGTGTAAATATTCTAAATTTCTGTAAAACATTGGTTAGATAAACATTTTTATCCCCTTTTTTTGGAATAGCACATTTTTGCTTTTGCTATATGCTTGAACATTTGGGTTGTTAAAAATACATTATATTAAATAGTGATTTGTATTTTTATTGGAATGAGCAAAATTTTTATTTTGATTCTCTTCATCAGGAAAATTAAGGAGATGATATGTAATGAAAAGCAGCTTTCTATGTTTTATGTTATGTAGGTTGATTTATTTATAAAGCAATTAGGTACATTTTGAGAAGATCATTGTTACTGTGGTATGGAGTATATAGTTCTTAGTAAACAATAAAAGTAAAACTTTTGAAAGAAAAGTACAGCTTTTTTCCCTAAATATTTTTAAGATTTTATCTTCTAATAGTCTCCCATAGATTTAATGTATATTAATTCTCTTAACATTGACCTTCAATTAACATTTTCTCTTTTAATACCTTTTAAATCTATTTACTTTAATAGTTAAAGCAATGTTTAAATAACTTTGTAAAGCTTATCTTTAAACTAGTTTGGGGGTAATTATACAAATATGTTTTTTTGAAACTTTAATATAAAATAAAGTCATTTTATTAGTGAAAACTTGTATTTTTCCTCTGTGTCAGCGTGTATCTTGAATGTGTCCTGATAAATGACATAATGTAAAATAGCATATGCACACACTTAAATTTACAAATTACAGGGCAAATTATAGGGGTCATATATAATCTATGATGTTCATCCATAAGCTTACAAAAAAAAAACACTGAATTGTTGGATTTGGATATTCGAAGGGGAAGAGAGGAGAAAACAACTAGTGCAAAAACCCTCACCCTCAATTTGTATTGGTTATCTGTCTCAGACATAAAATATAACAGAAAATTCAGTTTTATGTATCCTGAAAATGTTCTGGGGTTCCATCTGTTTTAAAGTCAGACGTCTGTCTGCCTCACATTTAAACTTCAGAGAGAAATCCAAGAGTGTCTCTGTGTTACATCATTATGATATATACTCCATATTAAAAAGTTTCCAGACCTCATTTAAAATAGTTTTATTCTTATTAGGAAGTAAGTATATCCTTGTGATGATGGAGAGAAGTTAGAAGTTCCAATAAAAATTCAAAAATATATGAGTATATGAGTTGTAGTTTTTTTTTCTTCTTCTTCTAATATTTCATTATCTTTAAAGAGGTTCACTGTTCTGGAGGGATCCATGGACCAAAATTTATGTCAGACTGATCTATTGCTCCCTGGAAAATATTTTGCTCTTTACCTACCCATCAATATTTTAACCTTGAAATAGTCTTCTGATGGTCTGGTTTCAGTAATTTTTAAATTGCTTTATATAAGATAACACATTAAATTAAAAACTGAAAGCACAAGATTATTATAAATGTAGTATATTAAAAGGTATACTACAACAAATGCAAGAAAATACCATGTTTGTCCATAATTTATCTGACATTTCCACATTTAGGATAAGGGGGAGGAGAAAATATGGCATTTTAGAATTATTTGCAAATCAAATTAGCAATCTTTTTAATTCAAAAATATTTCTTGAGTTCCTTGTGTTTATGCTCAGTGCCTATACCCAAGTATGCCAATGTAACTATTAATTTAAAGGAAATAAATTTTGCTTTAATAAAAACAAATTCACTATTACCATGAGAAAGAATAAGTGAAAACAGTTTAGAGTAATAAGCTAAATGTGTTTTAACATGATGTTTCTCAAAGTATGGGAAAGAGATTGGTCACTATAGAGTATTCCGTGAAAGCTTTTGTAAATTAAAATGGCATAGTGAAAAAAACAACTTCCGTTCATTCAGGTGGAAAATTTTGCGCATTTTCATACCCAGACTTAACCTGTGAAATCATATCAAATAACACAGTCAAAGTAAAAGCAGGAATAATATCACTGCCGGATGGAGTAATCCCTGGGGAAAGAACTTTGTGCCTCTCACTGCTCTGCCTCTGAACGGTTGCTGCAAAACAAACTTCTGGCACTATTTCTTGCTTGTTGGCATTCACATAAACCTGAAAATCCTCTTTGGATTTCTTTGGTTAAATACTACAGAACTCCTTAAAAGTGTAGCGGCAGTAACTTGAACTTTCTCGAAACGCAAAATGTGGGGGATACCTGTGATAATTTCTGCCTTCAGAATGTTAGATTTAATTTAAGTTACTCTAAATTTGAGTGCTACCATACATTACGGTATTGCCAGGAGTCAACAGTAGATAACTCTAATAGTCAAAGTTTTCCAGTGAAGTGGAACCAGGAAGATGTGGTGTGAGGGTAGAACTAGAGGGAGACATTAAATTAAGGAACTGGCTCCCACAGGTGTGGAGCTGGTAAATTACAATCTGCAGGATGGGAGGGCCACCTGGAAAGAGTTGCTCCAATCCGTAGATATACTGCAGGTAAAATATCTCCTGTACTATCAAAGATAATGTGCTTTACTCCAAATCTACTGATTTAGATGTTAATCTTCTCTAAAAACTACCTTAATTGTAATATCTAGACTAGTATTTAACTAAATGTCTGTATTTTGGCTAGCTAAATTGACACATAAAATGAACCACCATAAATCCTTAAAAATTAAGTTCCAAAGGAAACTATCTTGAAATGTAAAATTGTTTAATTAATACAGTATGTCAAAGTTATACATCTTGGCCTTTAATAGTTTACCTCATGAAGAAAAGGATATGTCACTTGGTTTATTTGAAAGAGGAAAAATGTACCTTGTAAGACTTCTGATGTGATGGCCCTTGTATTCAGTCGTGGTAACACTTACGTACCATTTGTTTTCACACCTTGGGAAGAAGTATCATCCCTGTTTTACAAATAAACTAAGCCTCAACAATGACCCACTTACATTGCTTCAAACTCCTGCGTAATCTAACTCCACTGTAGTCTATCTTGGAGATCACAGTATACTTAAATAGCTGAGATAGGCTTGATTCTTGACATATATATTACATAAAATTTCAGATTATTTCTTAGGAAACTAAATGGAATAAAGGTTTTGAGACGCTTGAAGTTAAGAATAGATTTGGCTCAGCAGCTTCACTGAGAGAAAGGATGCTTTTAAAATGAATGGGAAAAATAAAGACAAATATTTTACTATCTTTTTATTGGTGAAGACAAATAGGAAGAGATTTGAAAAGAGAGGATGTAGCTTAAAAGGGAGGAGTATCCTCTTAGGAAGTGTTTTCCTTCCTTCCTCCCTTCCCACCAACATTAGCTTCATGGCTCCCTCTCTTCAAACCACACCTTGTAAACCCTTTTATGTGCTCTGTTCACAACAAGAAAAATTTCGTGCATTCTTCCACACTAGGTCTTAACTAATAAAACACACACACAAAAGGAGCCAAATGGCTTTAAGCACAAGAAATGAATTTTATTCAATCTTTTACGTTGAAAACAAGTGCACTTAAGATATAAGCAGGCGACAGTTTCCATATGTTTTAAGAAAGTGGAACAGTATTATTTATAGTTTGCAACATGTTGTGTAAAATTAAAGCTTGCAGAGGGCTCCCAGGGAGGAAAATTAGACAAAGAAGGGAAGACTTGGGGAACTCTATTGTGAGATGTCCATAATTTTTTTTTTAATTTTTTACCTTCAATTTTTGTTCCAAGTTTTTTTTTTACTTTTTAAATTTTAAGGGGGCTTTGAGGCTTGGGAGGGGTTTTTTTAAAAAAACCTTTATTTTATATAAAATTGGTAAAAAAAAATAGTCTTTCAGAGAAGCAAAGGACAAACAACTGTCATTACAAGGATATATATCTCCATGTGCAAAGTAAAGCTACATGAGATCTAGTTGATGTTTGACCCAACCGTCTCAAAGCACATTAGACTGCAGCAATAATTGCTTCCTCATTTAGATTAGACAATGAGTTCTCTCCGCAAGCTGCTCTCCTCTAAATAGATTCTAGAGAGTAATTGAAACAAGTTATACTGGGAAGTAGAGTGACCGATTCCTCCAAGTGTGAGAACAGAGCTATGGTAACCTCTTAAGCCTGGCCTTCATCCTGTTCCTATTTAGGGAATCCGCAGGGCAGCCAGTGTTGAGTGCAGTCTGCAGTTCGCCAGCTTTATTGTTTAGACTTGAAGGGAAGGTCACATGCCCTCTTTGACAGAGAGGTTTATGGTCTCTCTCTAATTAGCCGCACCCTCCACCAGACAGACTGTTGGCCACCTTCCAAGAGAGGGGTTTGGTAGCGGCCACTGATGAAGGAGAAAACAAGGTTATTTACCCTGTGACTGTAATTCTTGGCACAAGTTCTCTCTTTACACTCTGACACGTTTTCCTTTTGTTCCGACTTGCCTTTGGAATTCTGAGAAGGGCGTTAAGGGAGGGAAATGCGGCTATATATTTAGTAGTGTAAGCAACCCATATGTTGGTCTCAGATGCTTTTTTATTTTTACTATTCTAGGACCATACGGTTCAACATTAATTACCAAAAAAAAAAAAAAAAACCAAAACCCTGCAACATACTCGAATCCTTGCTAGCAAATGTACATGCTTGTGCACTATCCCACACACAACCTCGGAAAAGGAAGTTTAATTTGCAACCTCTATAAAATAACGACAGTTGTACTTTAGGACACATAAATCCCAACGGTAAAACGTGATTGGGTTTGGGTTTGGTTAGCTATTCCTGGAATGTTCAAATACCGGGAATATACTTGGCTTGTCCTGTTTTGTCCGTTCCGTAGGACAGTGGGTTAAGCTGTTAGAAAGGCTTTTTGGTTGATTTAAACCAGATGCTCCGACTATTTTGGTCCTGTTTGCAGACGTAGCAGCACTGCAAAAGGCAATACTGCCCCCCTCGGCCGTCTGCCAACTGCGGGAACAGGAGCCTCAGCTCCTCCACCAGCTACCTCGGCCATAAAAACCTTTTAAGTCCCCATTATTATTTCAGGCACATTCCAAGGGGGTTGAGTCACAGGGTTCACTTGGCTTTTCTCCTGCCCTGAACTGCCTGTACCAGGTGGAATACGACCTCCAACGTCAAATATGGAATTCATAACCGGTCAAAGAGCGCTTTGGGACAAGCCCCAGATGCAACCCTTGCTGTAAAGTCTTCCCCACCCCCAAC